GAGAGAGAGAGAGAGAGAGAGAATGAATGTTTTACAGAGCGGGTTGTCCCAGCCCGTGAGACATGTATTTACTTGGCCTAATGTCCTGTTTTGTTGTGCGTTTGCGTGAGTGCACCTTTAAGTCTAACTTTAGTAACGTCTACTGCCATTGTTAACGAAAAAGACAAATTTCTCCCTGCGAGATGAATAAAGATTGTCATTGTCATTGTCATTGTCATTGTCATTGTCATAAGATAAGATAAGATTTATTGATCGACGACGGAAATGTTGGGTGGATATAACAGTACAGTAAAATGTTAAGATTCAGCTTCACAACACAGAAACGCTTTTAATGTATACTGATACTTATACGACAAGCATAATTCACTCACAGAAGTGTGTCAAATGAACTTTTCTTGAAATTGTTTTACAGACGAGCGTGTTTAATGTCCGTCACGTATCTATTATTCAGAACTCAGATAGGTGTATTTTCTCTTATTTCAGAAAACAAATTGTGAAACTGGCTTATAAACGCGTACGCCAGTGATATTTTCACAAGACACACGTTTCATAACCCCTGATTCTTCTTAGATGCTTTTCCGCTTATTTCTGTTGAACATTTCTCTCAGGATTTCCTTGTATTTTGAACTCATGTTGTAGTAGACGAAGATGTTCACGGTAGAATTTACCGCCTCCATCGAGTTGAAAACTGTCCACGTCAGCAAATACAAGTTCTGATATCTACCAACCATAGTGTACTCGTCGATGCTGAACTGGGCAATGATATTGAGTGTCCCCGGCAACAAGCAAACGATGAAGATGACAGAAATAAGAAGAATCATTTTCACCACCTTTTTGTCTCTGTTCGTTACCGATTCCTGTTTAGCGTAGCTGGACGTCGACTGCCGCCATTTTGACTTCACGAGAAGATTTTGGACGAGGATAAGCGTGCAGACGAGAACTGCGAGGAAAGCAGCAATCTGAGAAAAGGCATTGACAGAGAGACAAATGTTCTCGGTATACAAACCGTTCTCCGTGTAGATCAATCCTATTTTTGTCGCATTTCTTTCCGGGAAAAACTTGGGCCCGAGACTGATAGAATAGTACACTGGTGCTACACTGACAATCATTGTTAGATATATGCCGACAAGCACGACATTCGTGGTTGTTGGTGTTATAATTGTTTTGACTTTGAGGGGCAGGGCAATGCACAGACACCTCTCAAATGTGACCCAGGCTGTGATCCAGCTGGATATGCGAGCAAAACAAAGATGAAGCCAGCCCGCAGTGATGTAGGTGAAGCCTTGCTGGTTAATGGACAGGTCGGCGTTCATGAACCAAGGACTGAAACAGATGCTCATCCACAGAAGCGTAAGTGAGGCTAATATATCAGAGACGGCCAGGCCGAATAATGTAATATTCACGGTGTCTTTGAAGCCCTGTTTAAAGAAGACGATTACGTTGATGGTGTTGAAGATCATTCCAAAGGAACTCACGATTCCCAGAACAACGACATAGAAAATGATGATGAAGATGTTCAGGAGATGAACGTCCACCAAGCCTGTCTGCGTTGATTCGGAAAGTTGTGAGTGGCTTTTGTTTGCAGTGGCCATCCCGGATGTCGGAAGAAGTAAGACCAAGAGTATAAACATCAGAATCTGTAGTGAAAAGAAATGGAAAATAATAAATGAAATAGCTATAAAAGCAGAATTACCTGACGGGGGAGGGGGGGGGGGTTAAATCGTCAAGCGTAAAAAGAGGAGACTTCATGTTTACTGACCTATCTAGGAACGTCAGTTAATTGAATGGTGCATTTAAATTTCTCAACCGTGACCGTATATAAATTGATAATTACTATATCAAAGATCAGGCTAGCACTAACAATTTAATTATTCCCGAAACGTTCTGAATAACCAGAAAAACTTTTTTCAAAATTTTAGATCAAGCTAAAGATGAAAAAGATCAGCCATCTAATTAATATCAATATTGATTTCAAAGGTGTAGCCGTACGAATTTATAATATTCTACCAAAGAACAGTTAAGTCATATACATAGCTGTATTTCATGAACGTGTTTTTACTCCTCATCGACATAAAATAGATTAATTAGGAAGCAGGCTTCCGACCATGCCTCTCAGGGCCAACCAGGGCCGAGATGGATACATCCCAGCAGAAAGTCCGTGATACTCGATACAATTGTATGTTTTCCTCACTCGGGAATAGAGCTCAGGTTTTCCCCGAGCGACAGCGAAGTGTTTAACCACGGACCTCGGTAGTCACAGTTTTCCGATCATGAATATCAGTACGGAGGCAAACATGAAAAGCATCCTGTAGCCATAGATTTGTATTCATATACCGTGTACTGTCATGGCCGACGCTCTTTGTTTTTTGTAAAAACTTCACTGTGAAGCATGCACCATGGACCGCACCGTTACACCAACTTTAAGCTAAGAGCAAAATAGTTACACCATACTTGCTTTAGTCGTATGCGCATGTTACCAACCCCCCCCCAAGCCCCACACACACAAACAGTTAAATTGATGCCCTGAGTAGTGAACCGAAAATACGTCAAAGGTAAAGGCTTATTATAATTAATTTATAATACAAATCAACGTTTGTACTTGATGACGTATCGGCTTTTTTGTCTGCCTTCCAATAAATCAACACACTATGCGCCACCATGTGCCTCCTAATTTGTCTAGCTAAACCAGTAGTCTCTCAAACTCAAATTACCGAGGAAGTTAAGGTTGAGGGAGGTGGGGGTGGGGTTAAGGAAGAGTCTACACTAGTTCTCTTAAACTGTTCGTTGAATACTTATGTTTTACTTCCCATTCAACTGCCAAAAACAATAAACCACCAGCCAAACAGAAAGCAAGTTATGATTCTTTTTATAATGGATACCATCACCATTTTGTCCAGTATGTCAAAACTGCCGATTTTACATTGAGCCCTTCAAATCAGAAACGCATTTTATTTGCATGATATTAATTTATAGTTAGTATCTTTTTGTTTACCGTTTTAGGTTTCAGATAAAGAGAAAATAGCTGAAAGTTTTGAACGAATAAAGAAGCTATACTGCTTTTTTAAGGTGCCCGAGAAAACAGCAAGTCTTCAAGTATTGCCGAGTTACTAGAATGTTCATCTGCAATGAATTGAAATATAATACGGCTTTCCTTACGATCGACTCACAGTCAATATGTCTTGTTCAAGCACCGACCGACTATGTAATGCACCAGGCATTTTTATGAGAAAAATGTTAATGTCCCACACAATTGTGTGAATAATCTCAGTCAAAATTACATTGATAAATAAGTGGAAATCAGGCAACAAAAATGTTAATAGGGAAAAGTAATGGGAAACATAATATTGACGATGCAGAAATTATATGAAATTGTTCCGTATCCTTGAAGTAGAACCATGATTAGTTCGCAACATTTACCACAAATCGACTAGTTCCATAGTCACTCCGTGATGAGCAACCTGAAACGATTTATCTCCTTACAATTCTCATAAGGAATAAAACATTACTGTTCTAAGATAAGACACTGCAACGTTTTCTCCCCTGAATTCTCGCATTGTCTCTGTAAATAAAACACGGTTTTATTCCCCACCATAATGCAAGACATTAAACAATTAAATCCACATAACGATTAAAGATGAAGAGATGTAAAAGTGCAGTTCACAAAAGTAAATAGTGGATACAAATTCATGAAAGAAAACGAACAAAGACAACCCTTTAAGAGTTTGTGTACATCGACTTTTGTGTGATAAGACATAATTCTCCTAAATTGTTCTGTCATTTTCTACAATTATGCTCATTCTTGTAGGTTAAAAAAAAAGTTATAAAGACAGAGCGCATGTTAAGGACATTAATCATACTATAACTATAACGCAATCCTAATGTTGCTACCATTGCTACCTTGCGTTGGTTATGATGAAAAATACTGATGCACAGCAGTGCAAAGCCATACAAAGTTATAAAAAATTTTCTAACCGTAAATACTATTATGTTTAGTAAAGAGGCCAATAAGTAACTTGTACCAAGTCAGAACAAATACATTACAGAAAAAAGAAATTCAGTCAGTGTTATTTGCTTCACATCGATTAGCTTCATAAACACCTGTGTGACCCTCAAGTTTTCAGATTCTATTTACAAAAATTCATAGACCTATTATCTGAAACCGAATTTTCAGGAACATATCTTTACAAATTTCCAAAAGGTTTCTACTTCCAGGCTCAAACATCACTTATTATATTACAGATTGTGGAGAGCCAAACAGAAACTTGATAATGATATTCGACGTTTAGGTCTAGTTTTTAAGATGTTCAGGTTATCATAATTTACAAATGATAAATAAGGGCTGGAAACGGCGGTTACTTCATATTTATTTGACTCATTGTTTATTGGCTTACTTCTTGTATTGAAGTTTTTGTACATTTCTTGTACCTATCGAACAATAACCTACTACCATACTATCGATCTATTTGCTTTGATGTCGCTTTCTATAGCTGCAGCATCTTGGAGAAAAGGTTCCCCACGGCCGTCACTCTCAGCACCACATTCATAAGATCTTCCCTATCATTTAATGTAACCAGGTTGCCCTTCAATGTAAAAAAAAAAAAAGGCAAAAAATTTCTGTCTCGCTTTTTAATGTGCTCACTCAAACACTGTCAGCAAAAATTCCATTTGCTGGAGCTTGAACCCAACAAATTTTGCTCTGCATTTTGGTACCTGTTAGTACTTACTGTAAGTCTTTGAGAAGTTCGTCCTGTCCAATTTGGGTGATTTTGATAAGAGGTATTCTTGTTAGAAACTTTTGTGCAAAAATCAGGGTTTTTTGTGTTAAAGCTTCAGTCTTTTCCTCTGGGGATAGATCTATCCTCTTCCCTTATTTTCAATTCAGTAATTGTCTCTGGCTCGACAGGGACTTGAAAACCTTTACTGCGTGGTACTGGACGTCTGGCAGATGAAAGATCACGAAAACGAACTTTATTTTTCGATATCTCGTAATTAAGTTCTTTTCTTACTGGCTGCACAATACAGAAACAGCGCTCATTTGAATGATTACTTCGTTCACGCCGAACAATCCGCATCGCAAAGTGCATTGACTTTTGTTTTCTTTTCAACTACTGGACGAGGTTTGTGCTGTGGGTAAATATTTGCGTACCGTACGTGAGGAGCCCAACTTTCTCTTGGTCATCAACTTTGCATCTAAAATGTGGTAATAGACCTTTTAAAGTTTGAGATCGTTCTCCTTTGAGCGATATGTTATGTTATTTCGTTGCAAATTGTAACAGAGATTGTCAGTATTGTTTACACAATGATGAGACGTAATGACAATATAGAGTAACATTTTTATTGAGCTGTTTCTGGTTCTGAATCTCTCTGCTTGCTTAGTGAAAAGAAAATGGTCACAATGAAGCAACAAAGGAATATGTTGTGTCAGACTACATAGAAACGAATGCTTCTTTTATAACAGTTGCACCATAAAACTACAATTTATTTGAAGCCTAAGATCACTGATCACATCAGTTCTGCCTATAGTCCTTTTTTAGTTTTTATGAAATATGTCATACGTTATATATATATCTAAAACACACACACACACACACACACACACACACACACACAAAACCCCACTAAAAACAAACATAAAACAACAACCCCCCACCCCCTCCCCTAAAAAAGCAAC